AATTTCAAAACATCGTATTCTACTGTACCAATTAATATTTACCAAATAAAACAAACTATATGATGCATTCATAAGTATTTACATTTTTGCTTCATTTTAACTTAATTTATTAGGAATAATCAATTCCCAAATAGCATCCCACGTTGGATGAAATAACATGCTGTCAAACAATGCAGTAAAATCATCTTAAGTTTATTTTTTCAGTAACAATTACCCAAGTAAACATACCGTATGATTCGATAATATATCAAATTCTTGGGGGTTTTTTACAGGCGTAATTGGTTAACGTTATGTATTATATATATTAGCTATTGTTAATAATTATATTTATCAACACAAAAATAAACGACAATTCGGTTATGTTAAAATGAAAATTATGGTGTCTCAAACGCCAAAAGTAACTGGCGTGCTTTATTTCAATAAACCAATCTCATTTAATAACAGTTTATGGCGTTGTATGACATACTGCCATTCTTTCTTACATGATAACCTATCATAAACATTTTAGTTAAAATAATAAAACAAAGCTATAATGTTTCAAAGAGTTAATATTACCACATGAACAAATGAGCTGATTAAAGCTAGCATTTAATTTAGCAATAACAATAAACATAAATTGCCAAACAACCATATATTTCGGATGGAGTAGATATATCGTGATTAAAAATAGAAGTAATTCGAGTACAAATATTCAACAGTCGTGTTATGTATATTTTCAGGGTACATTTGTGGATATTTCTACAGATCTTTAACAATTATGACAGAGATGTTTAATCTTAAGCAAAAGATTTATTCGTTTAATACATTGCAATATCAATAAAATGTATTTCGAAACTTTGAATGCTGAAAGGCGACAAGTATTAAAAGAATCATTTGTTGTACCTGATAACTTTCATTAAACAAATATGAAAGTAACACATAAAATAGAGCCGGTTGATATTGTAGGTGAATACAAGAATATAATACTTTGATAAATGCTGCCATATGTCCAATACAAACAATTGTAATGGTATTTTACTATTTATAAAATTTGAGTAAAACGAGTTTTCTGGTTAAAGGACTATTGACGTTATTTTCCCGCCGGAAAAGAATATGAGGACTTCCACCACTATTTAAGGTGACTTAAAACTCAAGCAAAAAACTGCTGTGTGTTATTCCGATCATTACATACATAATCAGTGATACTCGTTTTAAACGAGAATTCAAAAGAATCCTTAACCTGGACACACGCTATTTTCAATTGTTCAAACCTGTCTGTCTACATATAAAAAAGGTATGCTTGCTTTGCTGATAATTAATTATATTACAGTTGTGTACTTTAATATTTGAATGGCTCAAATAATTATAACAGTAAACTGAAATCATTAATTTACAAGTCTCTAAGTTTATTAGGTTGGAAAATATTGAATTATTCATTTAACAATCGTCAAGATACAGACATCATTTACATTTTTAAACGACAATGATAAATTACTTTAATTGAAAATCAGCAGAAATAATTCCTGTGTGCTTTGTCGTTCAATGTGTCATAATTTTAGAAAATAATGAAGTATTTATTGTACTTTAATACTGTTTATATTAATTATAATTCCCAGCATGAGGACAGTGTGAAGCAAAATAGTAATCAAAGGTAAATTTTGTCAAGCATACTTGTTATTATTGATATTTAAATGAAATTAATCTAAACAAACTATTCATTATTTATCCAAAAGTACTTCTTATGTATAAAATATATATAGAAACATAAATTCGTTTCATTAAAATAAATTGTGAAAGGCTGTGTTTTGTACTTCTAACAATCAATAGACAAACACGTATCAATAGATCTTGGTCACAAGTTCACAGTTAAAGAATCAGTAAAAAATAATAATACCCAGAATAAAATCTCCATTAATTCACTATGAATTACATTAATTTAATTGATGCCATTTTAAAGGACGAGTTTCATTCGCATATATTTATAACTTGTCTTGTTCTTTTGGGTAGAATTGTTGTGTACGTATAAAGTGATTAAAGAAATGATAGAACACTAAATATCAACACAAATATAAATCGCGTCAAAATATCTAGATAACACTCTTAGTTCGTAAGTAATGATGTCTGAAATAAGCACAGATTTACTAAGTTTCGAATTTTAATAGATAAACAATTTCGGAAATGTTTTAATCTTGTCCTGCAGCTTTCATCTGACAATTATTCAGTTGGTTAGCAAAAATATCAAACAGTCACTTTTTGTTATTAAACAGGAATAGTCAGTAGAAACCCGGATCAGTTTTAACACAACAATTACTTACCCAAATAAAATACTTTTTGTTTTCAGATAAAATCAAAACACTCTAGAAAGACACATAAATATAGCAGATTGATTGCCAAGATACATATAACGATATTAAAAGTTGATAAATGTTGACAGTAACGAAATTTCGTTAAAATTGCGGAAAATACAAAATAATTGTATGTTCATTTTCTTACATTACTCATAATGCTATGTCAATGTCTTAACAAAATAAATTAAGAATAATTCGAACTATCTAAGGTTAAAAGATTCCAAAACATAATCTTATAATAAATTATAACCTGTCAGATATTTGACAAATATTTTTAATAAAACAAATATTAAAAAACTGCCTATGAAAACTGAAAAACAAGACCAGCCAGAAAAGGAGGCATTCAATGAACGCATCCCCTACACGACCTAGCAACACAGCACTACCGGCAAGGAGCCCAGCAGGACATCAAACAAAAACAGAACAGGACACGAGGACAAAGCAAGCACGAAGGGGGTATTACTTTAAATAACTTTGAATAAGAAATTATAGGAACCGACGAGGCAATTAAAGTGGATAATTAATTAATATGCCTACAAAAGTAAAAGGATGTAGGAGAAGGAAGGTCCTGTAACGGGGGAGGGGGTCAATTTTAAAAAAAAAACAAGTTGGGAAGGGAAAGACACTTACCGTTGAAAAAGGGAAAAGGTGTCACCACAAAAGCATGTACGGGTGAACATTAAATATCGAAGAAGTAGAAATTTATAAAGGGTATTTATGATGTAGTTATTGACGTCCTTTGTGGCAGTCCTCCTCGCAATATAATAACATTGAATACTATTTTCGATTAACTTTATAACAACGATTTATTCCGTTCGAATAACACCCGAGAGTGTAATAATTTCCCACAATCAAGAAAACAACACTTTCTTAAGAAAGGTGGATATCACATTTTAAAGAAATTGAATTGTAGTCGTCGAAAGAGACGAAATATATATTCTTCCGTCAGTCAGTTTTTTTATGCAACTTTTAAAGTAAAATGATATTATACATAGTCAATGTTTAGCTTTGGAGAATTATTTCCAATCCTCTTTTCTTTCTTCACATTTACTGAGTTGAATGTCAAAACTAACAACAAATTGATCTTCTGAAATATTATTTTTTATAAAATTGTCAAGGGGGATGCAAGTCTCGAAAGAATAGTCAATGTAGAGCGTTAAAAATAAATTACACATATTAGCATGCATTAAGCATTGTATTTTGTTTTACTTTTTTACTATTGTAACAAAAGAATCCTTTAATAGTCAATGATGTTTCAGTATCACAATTTTGCAAAAGCATAGCACCATCTAGCAACTAAATCTCCTGAAACTTTTCTTTTATATGGTTGCTCATAATGGCTAGCCGTTCATGCTACGCCCTTTAACCCTATCCTGTTTTTCTTTTGTGTACTACTGGGCTCTTTGTCTCGCTGGGTTTCTGTTGGGGAATACGTTCAATGAATGCCTTCCTTCCTTATTTGTCTTTGTTATCATATTTTAAAGTCGAAATATTTTGTCAGACAAGTATCAAACGCAAATGAACACAACACCCTTAAGTAGATGTCTAACATTTGTTTGCCAAATATTTAATGGATTTACAGTCTCATTTGTTGATGGTGTAAGAACATCTATTCTGTCTGGCTGTCCTTTTATATCCCGTTAGCGCATTGACCGATAAGTATAACAGTTATAAAAATGTATCTATTTACACTTATGTGAATTCAGGTAACGTCCTGTTGTTTGCTAAGAAAACTTTCCTTTGATATTTTACAAAATGGCTTAATGTACATTGTTTGAAGCCGAAACAAGTGAACATAATTTATAATTCTTTAGCGATATTAGAAATACAAAGTAAATTACACCGTAAAGAAAAAAATGAGAGTTTGTTTTTAAGACTTAACGTGATGACATTTGAAAATTATTGCAATAAGATATATTTTCTTTACACATGTACAGCCTAAATGTAAATTGTGTGAACATTAAAGCCACTGGCCTACAGATTGTAAAATGAAAAGAAAATGAAATAAAATTTCAAGTAAACAGTAAATCATTGTAACTGATATCTTAATTCAAGAAAGAATGTTGAAAAAGCGTCAATATATCGTGTTTCTGTTTTTGCATAATCTACTGTGTTAGTAACTCTGTGGCCAATATGAGTCGGATTAAACATGGTCACGTGTCACATCAGTGGTTCGGAAATATTCCTGTATCCGGCCCGCCCGTGATCATATATCAATTCTTGTATGAGTTGGCCCTTATCACATTTCAAGTTTAAATCGATATATTGGTCATCATATATATGACATAATTACTCGATTAAAAATTTAGTGCCACAAATTGCTACTAAACCAAAACAGTAAATCTGTTTCCCTCTATGTTTGATACATTCCCGGATTCGTTTTGTTCCGGACCACAGGTCGCGATACTGTCCTGTACAAACACGTGGTACTAGAAAAAATGGAATTCTGGCGAGCGTTTCACTAACATAACGTAAGTTTTGCGTATCTATTTACGTAAATTTGGACTTACGCAAAACGTAAATTTACGTTAGTTGCGTTTCACTAAACAGAACGTAGCGTAATTTTACGACACTGACAATTTACGGTAACCGACTTTTCAATAGGAGGTAAAAAAAAGCGCTCCCGGATGTTGACAAGTCGTCTGTCAAAACGTCAAAACATGGAGAAAAAACCCGGACAAAAAACGGAAGGAAAACTGGACAAAGGGGGAGGTGGAGGCGTTGTTGACTGGTTACATCAATAACCACAGCGAAATAGAAAGTAGATTTTCTATTAAAGTGACGGCCCAAGTTAAGGAGGCTTGTTGGCAGGATATTTTGGAGAGGTAAATTATCATGTTACGATGTAGGTCCGTCGAAAGTAAAGTAAGCAGAGCCTAGATCTATATTTGGCCTCGTCCTAAATTTTTTTAAATATAACGTCGCTTGATATTTGTGCTTCTTGGCAAAGCACAAGGCTTGATCGACATAAACTATAACAAGTCTGTAAGGTCTGGTAGATTCTATATTGATCTATCCCGAAACGAATCCGGGTCAGCTCGGGCGGCCCTTAAACGTACTCGGCCACCGAGTCAGCTCGGCCCTATACCAACTCAACACGTATATTGTACTGTACATATGTTATAACATTTAGTGTAAGTTTTTTAAAATCCTGTAAAAACTGTTGAAAATCATTGAAAAGACTGTTATGAAATTTTCTACAATTTTTAGTAGCCCATCTTGCACAAATTCTTTAGTGGTGATTACCCTGCTGTATGAATTTAGGTTAAAATATCACTCACTCCCTGGGAGTGACCTGAGTGGGTCATATTGTTTTTATTGTTTTTCTAAGAAAGATTAAGACATATTGGAAATGTACCAACCATAAAATGAATAAATGTTGATAGATGCATTAATATCTAATATGAATTTAAAGCATATAATTTCCCCTTCCATTTATTATTGGCTAAAAACAACTTAACTGATTGAATATTGGTTGTTCCGGGATATATTTGGCCCATTTTTAATTAAAGAATACGGAAAAAAATATAGGATGAAATAATAAAAAATAAAATCGTATGAGTGTCAAACATCTTTATTTCTTTAATTATGTGCTTTGTACAGGCAGCGTCCTTCAAATAGAAAGACTCTGGTACTGGGAAGGACTTACAGTTTCTTATAATCTATAAAACGTTACATATACTGGGATCCTACATATTACCGGACAAAATATGATGTTTTTTCGCTGTAACTTTTATTCAAAATAATAAAAAAGAAAGAAATTTTACCCAAATATATGTGGGTTCTTAATATAAGTAAACATTCCTTTATCAAACATAAAATCAAACATTTGACCATAGACATGTGTCTTTAAATTAGGGCATTAAAAGATGAAAAAAATTGTGTAGACAACTCAATTTACCGGACATGTATAGAACATTGTGTTTCAATTTTTTTGGAAGTCTAATTAAATTGAAATTTAGCAAGGAAACTACGACTATTAATGTCAATGTTAAGATACTGTAGTAAAAGTCCACAGAATGTTACATTCTAGTAATTTCTACAGGTACAATGTGTAGTTGAAATTTATGGAAATAAGTGATTAGGTTAAAGGTCATATGATTATACAAATGTAAAAGAACTAAACATCATTACAAAAATTCCAGGACGAAAAAAAATGAGGCCTGCATTCAACATTGTCTATTGTTATCTTAAATATTTTTTTCTGTCAATTCAGTGTTAACAGCCAGAGTTCCTGTACCAGAACCATAAATGAACTTAAAAAAAAATGGTCCGACCTTAAAATGGCTATTAAAAAAAAGGAGAGAGAACGTCGGCTGTTTGCCAGTAAGACTGGAGGAGGGCCACCTCCAGCTAATCCAGACAGTTTGGAAGAAAAGGTAATCAAATAGCATGCATTTGAAACAAACCTGTCTTTATCCCAATTTCACTTGCAAAAAAAATATGTTATATATTCTATGTGTTTTCAACTTGTGTCAAAAATACATTAATTTTGTACATCATGTAAATTTTTTTCTGAAAAATCCTAATTTTTGTTTCTTTATATTTTGTTTCAAGGGATAAATTGATTTAAAAAAAACTAAACTATGATTTACTTCAATCTTAAGTTAACTTTTAGGTTCTACAGTTGATTGGAGAGAGTACAGTTGCTGGTATTTCGGGTGTAGATACCTTCAGGGAAAACTGTAAGTAAATTTCAATCCAAAAACATGTGTTTCTTGAAGTACAAGTAATGATAAACATTTCAGAATTAGTTAATAATGATTTGTAAAAATAGGAATTTAGTAATTATGGCAATTGTTTTTCCAATAAATTTATGTTCATCCAGAAAAAATGTAATTGATAACTGTTACAACAGACAAGTTTGCATCCAGATAGTTTAGTGGTAGAACAGCTGTTACTTTGTGACAGAAGGCCTGGGTTCAATTCCCAGTTTGGATTACTGTTTTGTTTTGTTGACAGTTGTCATTACTTTTTCCTTTGTCCAAGTTCTTTTAATTATTTAATTAAATTTTTTTTGCAAAAGTTTGTTTATGTATTCATGCTATTATGTTGATTCTCAGTTTTATGATTTTAAGTTTGGGATTTGCTACCCAAGCCTTGTTTGTTCCTAGGCAGCTGAAAAATCCAATACTGCTTAGTAGTATGGAATAGTTGAAAATATATTTGTGGATGTAATGGGTAAAACTATAGCATAAAAATGTTATTTCATCAGACACCATTAACTTTGAAACAGAAATGAGTTTTGTTTGACATTCAGTATATAACTAACTTTCACAGCATTTAATTTTGTTTATTTTCACAAATAAAATTTATTTGTCTTTAGTGTCTTCTTCTATCAGCAACATGAGCAATGTGCAAGAGGCTTCTTGTACAAATGATGGAGATGCTGATGCTTCAAGTAGTGGTAATTTGGCAGAATCAGCACCATCTGCTACACTTGTTAATACAAGTAACTCTGTAAGTCTAATTATATGTTTCCATATGTTCAAGCATAATATTTTCTATGAACATGTATCATAATATTCATGTGGAGTAAAATGTCTGTGTCCCATTTATGAAAACTAGACAATATTATCTGTTATGCTAATTGCACATCATTCACTCTTTTAAATCTCTTTTCACAAAACATAGTTATAAGCAATTGCAGACACTTAATGAACCTTTTTAGTGTAACATAATAAAGTATTTACAGATTGCTAATTATGAATCAATAAAACTCTGACACTTTTCAAGGACATTTCAAATTTTATTGCACATATTTCAATACTGAATTGCTTGATATCATATTACAAATGTATATGACAATGAATATCAAACCATTTTATTAACCTTTCACCTGCTTGAATGTTGCCACCTACACAGAGCCAAGTCAAATACACAGCTGTCAAATCTGGCGAGGCTCTATACATATGCCAGGCTGTCTTTCAATTTTCATATCCACAAATGGAGAATGGAAAGTACTGAAATTTAAGGTTGGATGTCTATCGCAATAATTCAGCAGGTAAAGGGTTAATCAAATGTTGAGGAAATACTTACCTTATTATGAAGAAATATTACATTAATGATTTTCTTATCATATACCAGCACAGCTTTTGCAAGTCAGCAACATTGATACTACACTTCTGTGTATAACTTTCAGGATAAGATTATATGACTTGTCATTTCAAATGACACTAAATATTTGAAAACATTACAGAATAAGCTTGTAGGTATGGAAATTACAAAATAGACTGTCTTTTTTACAAATAATACTTACATAATGTACTGGTATGTGATAAAATTATAACTATTTAATTATTTTTGTGTGATTTTCTTACTAAATACATTGAAAAAATTGAATAACAAAATAACATGTTCACAATAGGCAAAAATGATATAATTCAATTGAAGACATGAAATAAATTCAATTATGAATTTTCACAACATTCAAATTTTACTTCCAGGAAAAAAGAAAACGGACGGTCAGTGAACCATTAGGTAAATGTATTACAAATTATTTCCAGCTGTTCATTAACAGGTAAAACACATCAAATATAATGGAAACTTTCATGGAAATAATACTGTATTTTGAAATAAATCTTGCAAATTGTATTATTGTGAATATATGTCCGGTTTATTAAAGAAATGACTTAAGGAATTTCAAAAAGTACCATGTATGTTTCTTAAATTTAAAAGAAATTCAATATGGCTTCCTAAGTACAATGTCACAATCAGAGAATCAAGGAACTGGATATAGTAGAAAGTAAAATTGGAAATATCTCTGACATACAAAGCAACTGGTTTCAAACCATATGAAATACATAGAATCTCATATGAATAACCATATATAAAGAATACATTGTTGATGTTTTGATAGAGATGGTTTATCCGTTGAGCGAGAAAGTGTATCTTGGATAGCTTTGACACCGAGCATGTATTTGAGTTATCCTGCTTTTGATCATGTTTTTAGACAATTTACTAGTAAAAGATTTCAATCTTACATTTCCCTGATGAAATTTTGTCTTGTTTTTCTGTTTACCATGTGAGGTCATCATAATTATGACGTAATGACTGGAATTAAGATAAGTTTATCCGGCAAGGCTTCCAGATGATAATATAGATAGTAGCTGGATAAAATGTAAAATTTAAAAAACAGGTTCAAGAAATGGCTACAAAGCAAGCCTTTGCTGAGATTGATAACTATGATATAATTATAACCCCCCCCCCCCCCAAAAAAAAAAAAAAAAACAAAAAAACAGAGAAAACTATCAAAAATAATATTTTCATGAAGTACATTTTTACAATTATTACAATATGTTATTTCAATTACAGATAAATATCAAGAACTTCTGGATATTGAAAGGAAGAAATGCAAATTTCTAGAAGAAATTCTCAACACGCAAAAACAACAAAATGAAAATCTTGGGGCAATTTCAAACGAATTGAAGCGTCTGACTGACATTATTGCATGCAAAAGTAGCATTGATAACCTGATCGAACTTTAAATATAGAGGATATTTGTTTGTTTTGCATGTAAGATTGAAATATAATTTCACTGAGTGAACACCAGATGCAATATTTTCACGAGTGGCGTAGCCACGAGTGAAAATATTATAGCTGGTTTTCACGAATGAAATATATTTCAATCTTATATGTAAAACAAATAAATTTTCTTTTTATTTCATGCTTTTTAAGTGATTTTAAGTATCTTATTACTGATTTTGCCGCGTAACGTCCCGCATTCTCCTTTGTGACGTCATCACATCATGACGTCACGTCATCAATTTTGAAATATAGTTCTGTTAAATTTCTCTAATTTTGTTACATTTTTTAACATGATGTATGAAGACATCGACTTTCTTTTCCTAAAGAAACAAATTTACGTATGACGGCATTTATTTCTGCCTGTTATTCCATTTAGTTATGTTTTTTTTTCATTTGCATTCAGATATAGTCTGGCTACAGTGAAAATCATATTTTATAAATTTCACTAGTGGTTTATCGGAATATAATCATCTGATATATTACAATAAAACACTGGAAAGCATGAAATAAATCAAACTATACATTTTCCAAATACAAAATGCAGTCATAAAATCATATACTTAGGAAAGACAGTGGAAATTTAATAAATATAGTGAACTAAAGAAATGATATATTCCAAGCAGTGATTTTACAGCTAAATTAAAATTATTGATTTGATTTCGGATGCCAGAGATTATATAAAGAAGGCACAGCTCTTGTAATAACATGCTGCACATCCGGACATCAAACAGTGATTTTATAAAGCAATAAAATCACTGATTGGGATATATTACTTTGATTCTAACATGACATTAACTTAAACATGGTGCTATACCTTAAATCAAGCTAAATTTTTGTTTCTTTACTTTTTCCCACGTGTCACATTTAGTGATTACATAACATTATAATACTGCATGTTTGTAATGTCGCTTTTCATTGGATAATCGTAACATTTATATAGTTTTATATACACGGCTGCTGTTGATTTTTAAAAAAATCTCGCTTTATTCCTCTAAAAATGATGCTTGCTGTATTATAAATTTGTTATAAATATTTCTGACAGGTTATATGGCTGTATATGAACGCTTGTTTTGTAAATATAACCCTCGCCTAGCGGCTCATGTTATGTTTTCAAACAACCATTTATATAGGGCCATATAACCTGTCAAAATTTTTATAACTAGTATGGTAGTCTAAATGAAGTGATTGCATTTTTACAAACACTTTCGGTGCTTTCTTGTTCAACAGTTCATTAGGAAACATTCAGGTCATGTTAGAATTCATCATTTGAAATTAGTTACATAAAGTCTTACACATGTAGGTAACTTGTTACCCAATTAGTAACTCTCTTATTATTTATATATTCCAATTTAATTTGTAAAATGTTAAGAATAACTTACACGATTTTTAAATATACATTATTATTTGACAATGCTAGAAAATTCTTAACTTTAAACTTATGTATGTATTTTCCTATCAATATGTTAATAGAAAAAGTATCCAGAGCTGTTATATGAGTGACAAATACCATATTTTTTTTAAGGACAAGTCTTTCAAAACTTTTGATATAATTTCATTCAAACTTTAGATGTTAAACATGGATAGCACAGTCATATAACCTGGCAATATTATGTAAACTATATAAAACAAATTTCAACAAGAACCACCGTTGGACAGGCGCAATGCTCAACTTTTAACTTTTTAGAAATGGTTTAAACAAATCTTTAAAGCTGAATTTAATTAATTTTATAACAAAAAGAAACAGCTACATTTTGTTAATTAAATTTGGGTATGTGATAAATAGAATATTTAATTCGTGTAATGTTCATCACTGAAATTATTGCACTTGTTGAATAAAATAATATGCTCGCCAGAGTCTCGCATAATAAAATTTTATTCAACTCATGCAATAAATTCAGTATTGAACTTACACTCATTCAATATCCTCTATTTATAAACCACCTATTACATGGTAAGTGTGGTGGTAAAAATGACAAAGGTCGAACCCCAGCAGTGAACTTGAAGATAGACAAAGAAACCTGTGTCTTGTTCAAAAACACATTGTCCATCTATGGTGACTTTAAATTTTTAAATAGAAATTGAAACTTTCATGTATTTGGAAGTTACAGAGCAGACGAAACAATCACCATTTATATTTATATAACATAAATAAAGTTATGATCAATGTTAAAGTTTGTGGACAGCAGCAGAAACGCCAACATGACTGTAATAATACCTCTAATTTTTTTTCAATAAAAAAAAAGGTCAGGCTAAAACTTAAAAAAGATCAATTAGGGTAGCCCTGGCATTAATTCCAGTTTGAATACTCTGAGATATTGTAACTACATCATCATTAATCAAAGTGTCATCAATCAATATATCTCCTATTAAAGGAATGTTTCTTTCCAAACAAACATTGTGAAGCTTACAGCAGACACTGACAATTCTGGCAGACTTCTCTGGTGTGAAGGGCAGACAACCTCCTGTTTTGTGTAAACACCTGAAAAAAATTAAGAATCATTATGAATTATAAAAAATGAGTCGCACTGATCTTAATGAATGAGTTTCAGAAGATCACTGATAAATGATCAATTTATAATTCCTTTACGTTCTAAGTTATAATATATTCGTAATATATTGTGGTACAAATTTTGAAGGGTTTCCATTTTTATGGTCCCTATAAAAACAGTAGCATGTATGTACATATGTATAACAGAAACTGTTGGTGCAAACAAATAATAAAAACAGCAAATAACCTTTATTTTATTGAAACTGAAAATTACTTTGTAAACTTACAGAAGTCTTTATATGATTTGTATCAAATCATCCGATGGAAAACAACTTTACAGACATGCAGTATTAAAGTTTATTTCTATGTAAAATGGTAAATAATAAACATAGTTGAGTCTTTCAAAATTGGTGTCATCCAATTATGTAACATGTTATAAAACTTAGTATCATACATTCAAGTGCATTGCATGGCAAAATACCTAAATCTTGACTTCAACATTCCAAATGCTCTTTCCACCACCATTCTTGTCTGGCTATGAGCTTTGTTGTACCTCTCCTCCTTAACTGATCCAGGGTTGATCTTAAATTGAAATAATAAATTTCAAAAAACTGTATAAACTAACACAAATATTTCACAATCAGTCCTTTCTATGACAACAAGCTTTAATATGAAAACCAAATCTCAAATAAAGTATGTTCCTGTTTAATATGATATATAGAAATTTCAAATGCCATGATTATACAAACTGATTAAAATCTTGATAGCCAGCCAAGCACTTGAACATTATTCTATTATTTGTTTGTATTCACCAAATTCTTTCTTGTTTATTGTTGTTGTTTTATGCTATACATTTATGATGGAAAAAATGAAGATTAATATGTTACAAGACATTGTTATTGTTTTTATGATATAAATTTATGATGGAAAAAATGAAGATTAATATGTTACAAGATGTTGTTATTGTTTTTATGATATAAATTTATGATGGAAAAAATGAAGATTAATATGTTACAAGACATTGTTATTGTTTTTATGATATAAATTTATGATGGAAAAAATGAAGATTAATATGTTACATGATATTGTTATTGTTTTTATGCTATAAATTTATGATGGCAAAAAAATGAAGATTAATATGTTACAAGACATTGTTATTGTTTTTATGCTATAAATTTATGATGGAAAAAATGAAGATTAATATGTTACATGATATTGTTATTGTTTTTATGCTATAAATTTATGATGGCAAAAAAATGAAGATTAATATGTTACAAGATATTGTTATTGTTTTTATGCTATAAATTTATGATGGCAAAAAAATGAAGATTTATATGTTACAAGATGTTGTTGTTGTTTTTTTGTGTTTGGAATAGCTGTCATTAATAGGGGCAACATGAGGTGAAAACTAATTCAAGTCTGTACTAATAACTAGCAAAGAGAATTTCAAACTATCCACTCCCTCAGTTTTTTCCAGAGCAAAAAATAGCTTTGGCGAAATTCTTAGTTATAAATGTTGTCAATACCTTTGGAGTCATCAAATGAGGGCGAAGAGGATAACCAGAATCCCCTAATAACCAACCCAGATTGTTATCTTCTAAATGCTGCCTGAGACCGCACATATGAAAGATAGTGGCATCATGTGTGGACCCAGGCCAGCGAGCAACAACATCGGTGAACCTATAAAAAAATGTAATTGTTTTACATTACTTCTATCCAAAATTTAGTTCATAAGATTGGGGTGTCCGTGGCCGAGTGGTTACGGTCCACTTGCCCCTCACCGCTGTGGGTTCGAATCCCAACAGGGACTTTGGATTCTTTCATGTGAGGAAGCTATCCAGCTAGCTTACGGAACGTCGGTGGTTCTACTCAGGTGACCGTTCGTGCCTGAAAAAAATGCACGGAGAGGCACATGAGGTCTTCTTCCTCCACCAGTAAAGCTGGAACGTCGCCAAATGACCTATATAGTGTTGGTGTGAGGTAAAACCCAAATCAAACAAACAAACAAAAGTTCATAAGATAGTGAAGTGAATAATTCTAATAAAGGCAGATAAAGAGAAATATTTTACTAATCAAAAATAATAATTTAAGTATAAAGACAGTTTACAGCATTTGAAAAAGTAGATGTTAATACCTATTCTTTCTGATAAACCATTCAGTCAAAAGAATTGTAAATGTTTAAATAAATTAAATAATTTTCATTGCAAATACGGAAGAAAAAAAAATCTATTGCAAATTGGGTTACCTCATGTTATGGGTCGACAACAGCTTTGGACATTCAGGGCATGTATCCCTTTCTACAAAACAAAGGCAGGTTCCTCTAATCCTGCTGGTGCTATGATTGGGATCAAAAGTCCCATCCACAGCACAAAACACAATTAGGCAAACCTGCCACCTTGTAAAATCCTCTCTTCACATTTGATATATCTGCTGATGAAGTTGGGAACTTTATGTTTTCCAGTCTTTCATTGATTGAATTCACAACCTGCCAAAATTAAGCAATTAATTACATTTAAAGTAAATATACATGCACCTTCAGGTCTTGAAAATTATGTTACTTACATAAGTTATCCAGGTTTTTCTTAGTTCACAAATTAACATGTCAGTCAAAAAATGTATATATATGAGTCATTGGCCTCAGTAATATAATCATAAAGTTATTCATAAAATTTCAAAGTAATACCTTTTGTGATTTTAAAATTTTATCTTGCAGATTCAGTTTTCACTTTGAATGTGAAAAAACATTTTGCTATTTGATAGGTTATATATACTGTTGCAAAAAACATTGTGCATACCATTTTAAGAAAAAAATGTTGTGCCAACATCCAGTATAGATGGACAGCACCCTTCAAAATGATGACTCAAAATTCAATTAATTCATTTGGTAATTGATAGTAGTTAATCATACAAATAAATCAACATTATCAATAATTATCAGGGCAACTGATTAGACATAATTTGTGCTTACTTGCCATACATGTCTGCTCACTGAACTCCTACTAACTCCATGTAGATCCCCAGTCTCACTGAAAAAATCTCCCTTTGCCAAGTATCTCAAAGTGACCAGAAGCTGAAAATAAACAAATGATGTTCACATTCTGTTTAATAGTGAAAATAGTGAGCAATGTGTAAAGTTTTCTTGTAAGATATATACACTGAAACAAAAACTTATAAACACATAAGTACTGCATATTATGAGAATTGTGGTAATATGTGTCAGCTGATACAACAAATTATTATATTGTATAAAATTCTACACCAAATGCTGATGCCTTGCATATTTTCATTAAATACAAACGAAATTTATGACAATTGCAGCTAGATGATACAGGGCAGTTCTAAAACTAAAAAAAACCCAAAAATTTCATTAAAATTGTGTAACTGGTTAGGCCATAATCTACAAGATGCAATTGATTTTTTAAGCTACCTTCCATTTAATTATATACTTATAAATGAAATATTATGAAATATTGAAGAAATAAAATGGGTACTTTTTTATTTTCCGTATTTTACTGTAAAAATGTATTTATTTTTCATTGTAGTGAAACTTATTTTTGTTATTTTCAATTGTGCCTGGCTTTGCATCTCTTTTGTGCGGAAACAGCACATTGTACCTATGGCAGGAGGGTTTTCAAGTTTTTTTTAAACTTATATGGGGCCTATTTGCTGCACATACATAATGAGTTACATAAACAAAAATATAAAATAAAACCCGATTTTGTGTAACAAAATTCTCAAAATTTATAACTATGAATAAGTGTCATTGTATTTGCATTTATCTCAAGTTAATGATCCAGTGTTCTGTATAATATTTATAAATTTGCACTTATATGTTTCTATTTATATGTTTCGCATATAAGTAGTGGATATTTTTCACAAAACGGTGAAAGACAAAAATAACATTTTTTTTTCTGGGGGGGGGTGGTGGGGGGGGATTGTACAAGACACTTCACCCCTGACAATTCAACTCGAGCCCCATTTAAAATTAACAGACGTAAAGTAAGTTATTTTGTCAGTCAAAACTGTCACTGAAATTATAATGTTATAATAAATTTTAGAAAGAAATATATCGTGACCATTTCTATTTGCTATATCTTGTTTGAAGGAAAACAATACTTTTATTTCATTACTGTAAGTCTATACATTGTACATTTGTGTACATACATGTATTGATAATATAATAAAAATATTTTAAAACAATCACCATTGTTTACTGGTTGGAGACCATCAACCGGACACTTTTGGAACATTTTTCTGTACAGATTTCATAATTTTTAACCTAGAGACCAAAACATTTGACAGAGTTCAGCTAGGTTCTTCTCCTAACTAACAAACTGGTTTGTTTATTTCTGATTGTATTGACACTTATATCTGAGGCTCTACACGGAGGGTGTCAAAATTACCTAAATTGTCTACACTACAGTACCATGTGTCCGGACACAAGATATGTACATGATGTGATTTAATTCAGATTAAAGCTTGGGGCTTTGATTTTTGATTTGTTACATGATATACAATATGTCAGCAACAAATGCTGAAGTTTTGGATATTCTATAATTTACTCTGCAAATGATTATAGCTGGTATATGAGTCCAGGCATTGCTTTCTTGACCCCCAAAATTTCAACGTCAACATTTTTGAAATAGACATTAAAATATTACAATTTACGGAGATTGAAATAAATTTATTTACTTAATTTTAAAAGAAACCTGCACTTATTGTTGATAAAAAAGTAACTGACAACCACTGAACAAAGAAAATACTAAATTAAGCATTTTCGGGGCCGTCCGGGTTTGGTGGTTGTCCGGTTTTGGTGGTCCCCAACCAGTACATCTCATCTTCAAACCATTGTTTACATCCCATCTTCATTTGAAAAGCACAAAACAAGTTTGGGTGGAAGGGGTGTAGTATCTAAACCAGATAATGAAATATTTCATAAAATAAGTGGTAGGCTAAAGTGTCTGCGAAAAATAACTTAAGATGAAGTGTCTAAGGGTCGGGGGTACTGTCAATCCAAGTTGTACACATAATTAAATTTATAAAAAATTATAAAGGGAGGTCGAGAATCACGAGGTAAATATACTATAAACGGTAAATATACTATAAAGGGAGTGGGAGTTTGTAAATATTGAGATAAAAGGATATTTTTCACAAGACGACTTGTCAATTGTGACACAAACACTGTAGCAGTAGTGGATTCAAGGGTGGTAATAAAATGTGAGTTGGATAGCTACAGACCCATGGACAACGGAGTTTAACTTGTTTAGAAAAAAAGTGTATTTATCGAGCGTGTAATGAATCGTGCATCAACAAATTAGTGCTGTAGTACAGGCACTAGTAACTATCCGAAATGTTGACAGTTCCATCGGATTATTCTATTAAATTATTAATGAATAAACGCTGACAGCAATATTATCATTATAAAATATGTGATAGAAAAACATATCTTATCAACTTCCCTATATAATCCTTCAAGTTTGGCTTGCTTATTTGCCGCTAGACTAAATGAATTTGTAGCGTCCTTGAACTTTGGTTGTTGTTGTCAACTATGTAAACAAATTATACAAGGGAAACAACTATAGGAAAATCACCGAAAATATCAACCTAGATTTGTCGCCCTACAGTATTGAAGAGCTAATATCATGCAATTGTTCGAAATATTTATTGGCATACAGTACCTTTGTCAAAGGCGGCACAGGAAAACTTCTATTTGAAGATGAGCTTATATCATCTTTAATGAGATTATGCAAATCAAAAATTGCTTCCCGCGAGAGGCGGTACCGTTCAACCACTTCCCTGTCCCTCAAATTGTCGAGGACGTCTGTCCGTTCACGGAAAATTCGTGGCAGAGGTCGACGTCTCTGAGTGTCGAACAATAATACGGCGGCCATATTTACGCACTGCACGAGCAATTTACGCCAGCAATAAGTGACCGTAACTTTACGTTTAAACTTACGCAAATGCGTAGCTAAGAAAGTTTAGTGAAACGCAAATAAATACGTAACTTTTGCTTACGCAAAAACTTACGTTCAAACTCGAGTTACGATAACGTAAGTACGTTAGTGAAACGCTCCCCTGTTGTATGATAAAGAAGGTATATCCTGTTGGCGGAAAATTTCAAAGCAAGAATGTTAAAATACTAACATCTATTTCAACTATATATAATGTTTTGAGGTTTTTTTTTTAAATATTAAGACGTGAGTTTTTCTGTTATCTTCTGGAGACCTGCTGTTTTTAATTGCTGACCGTTACGCTATTATTCAATTTATTTTATTTTGAATCATGTATATTTAGGATAGATTAAAGTACAAATATCATGCAAGTTTTATTTTGGATAAAAAAAGAAACCTTAAAGGGGGAATGATTTACTTCCCTGCCTTTGTTGTGAAGACCGTTGTTCTTTACTTTGTGTGTAAGCCATAATTAATAAAATCGTATCTTTACTTATAATTTCCGGTGCAGTGACAGCGTGTTAAAATCGGCCTTCAGCTTTTGTTGTTGTTGTTGTTGGAAAACAATTCTGTGTTGTTTCAAACTATGTATTTCAGTAACTTTATATTGGAAAAGTTTATCATACCAATGTTAAGTGTTTCCCCAAGAGATATTTATAACGCATCAGTGACTTTCGTTTCTAAAAATGGAAGATCGAGAAACGAATCGTTCGCTTTACTAATCAACATATAGAGTGCGGACCGGTAGACTAGAGGTATTGAGGGTTTCTTATTGTTGTTTTATTTTAATGACGGCAAACTTTATTTTTCGACTTAATTCTCCTGATTTGACAATTATATGAATCAATGTGTCTAAAAACAGTATATTTAACCTTTAGAAAAACTGAAGCCCGCTTTTAATATAAAATACAACTTGTTTCCTTTAAATGACAACTTATTGTCTAATTACTTGACATATAACTACCGAAGACAAAGCTTTCTTTGTGAAAAGTCGTATCACAATTCAAAATAATCAAATTACAGCCGTGCAAGTCAGGGACATCCAAAGATGGGAATAGATACAAGATATATGGTTTTTCTGAACATGAATATCTCTCTGTTTCAGTTGATTTTATTAAGTGATGACGTAACAGTCACTTTTAAGACTTAGAAGATTTTCACCCTCATAATTGACTAATAAAATGTCATCTAGCGGTGAACATGTTAAAATGTGAAAACACAGGTTTGTTTAATTCAACTTTAGGAACATATATTTATTTATTTATTAATTCTACAATATACGGTTCTTTTAAATTCTTGTACTTAATTTAATGTACTCATTTTTTCTGCATCGTTTTCATTTAATAAGGTTAATAAGTTTATTTTTCAATACTGAAGTTCCATAAGGTCATATTGCCTATGAGGATATACAATACATTATACATTGCCAGACAGTATTTACTAAACGTAAAGGTTTGCAAATAATAGCATGTTGAAATATTTTGGATAATAACAATGCATCTGCAAATAAACAGCCCAATGCAGCATACACAAAACTTGTTTATGGAATTTATAGTAGATTTATGTCTTCCTAATTAGTATATGTAATCAGATATTCTTACCGAATTCCACTTGGGTATATTTTGAATTTTAATATATTGCGAGAGAATATCGAGGTGAAATACTTACATGTATATAATTGTAAATTAATGTATATGTTAACTTTCAGTGTTACAAATATTAGATTATCTGATTCATAATTTCTTTAAATAAAAAAGTGTTCATAGTAACACTTGGTACCAATTACAACAATTTAGAGGTAATGTAAAAAGAACATTTGTTATTTGCTTATCTAACAATACTGCAATCAAAAAAAGCGTCGTTTATTAGTTAAATTCAAATTCATTTTTATCAAAGCGACCAGTGTTCTGTCACTAGAGTATGAGTAATATTATTATACTGAAAATAAAACTTGGTGACCAAAATTTGATAAAATTAGAGTCTTTTCTGGATACAGGATATTTACAATTGTCCATACATGTCTAAGTATGAGAAACGACAGGCTTGCTCTGCTCATACATCTAACAATTATATCAAAAAGTGTACTTTAATATGTATTTGAATGATAAAAATTGTTTGTCAAATGAATCATTTTAACAGTAAACTGAAATCATTAATTTACAAGTCTCTTCGATTAATAGGTAGGAAAATATTAAATTATTCATTTAACAATCGTCATGATACAAACGCCGTTTACATTATTAAACCACAATGATTAATAACTTTAATTGAAAATCAGCAGGAATGTCTGTGTGCTTGATCATTTAATGTGTCATAGTTTTAGATAATAATAAAGTATTTATTGTACTTTAAATCTGTTTATATTAATTATAATTCCCCGCACGAGGACAGTATAGAGGAAAATAGAAATCAAAAGTAAATTTTATAAAGCATACTTGTTAAAATTGACATTTAAATGAAATTAATCTAAACAAACTATTCATTATTTATTCAAAGGTTCTTCAATAGTATAAAATAAATAAGGAAACATAAATTCGTTTCATTAGAATAGATCGTGAAAGGCTGTGTTTTGTATTGCTAACAATCAATAAACACGTATCAATGGATTTTGGTTAAAGAATCAGTAAAAAGTATTAATACACTTAATAAAATCTCCATTAAATTAACATGGAGTTTCATTGGCACAATTTGTATTTAATCTCACGGATATGTAGGCAAATCAACTGTTGAATATCTGTTTTTGTTTATTAATATCTAACATATTTTTTCTTTATATGTATCTTTAGGACAAACAGTAGACAACATTTTTTTGTATATTCTTCACTGCAATAAATATTGAGTTATTTTCTACCCATGTTTTTCATAATAGTATCATAAAATAACAATTATGATCAGTTGTTATTTTTATCGTTTTATCAAGACACATGAAAAAACTTGCTTCTAAAATCTTGATCATTTATAACTGGTTCTTTTTGGTAGAATTGTTTTGTACGAATAAAATGATTGAAGAAATTAAAGGACACTAAATATCAACATGAATATATTACATGTCAAAATATCTAGCAAACACTCCTAATTCGTACGTAATAGTGTCCGTTAGTAAGCAAAGGTTCCATAAGTTTGTGAATTTTGATAACAAAGATTTCGGAAATTTCGGCGTGTAGCAGTTATCTGACAATTTTCAATTGGTTTGCAAAACTATTCAACAACCACATTTGTGTTTTCAAACAGAAATTATTAGTTGAAATACGGATCAGGTTTTTTAACACAATAACTATTGAATCAAATTAAATATGGTACTTAAATTTCAACACTTAAAAGTGCTGGAATCAATGGCTCCGAAGAACCAGAAACATATAACAACACTGAATCTGCGATTGTCTGCTTTGCTCAAACAACAGCTTTTATACATACACATGTATCGCTGACGTTAATAATGTAATTTTGGTGCATGCTGTCTCTTGAAGTGTCTTTAGAGGCATATCTAAAAACAGAACATAGACAAAAGATAAATCTAACAAATTTTAAATCATTAAAGAGGCATTAAATTCTTCATAATGTTCTATGCAAATGATGTAGGAAACTTTTGATCTGAAAATTAATACCGTATGTTTTACTATTGCCAGCACGACACGCTTAACGTCATTGCGTATCTGTTATTCAAAGAACTTTTTGTTTTCAAATATAATCAAAGTACACTAGAAAGACACATAAATATAGCAGGTTGAGTGCTGAGATACAGATAATGATATTTTAAGTTGATGAATGTTGATGTTTTCCTCTGAATACTAAAACCTTTGTTGAATTTATGGGTATTAAGATACATTGATTCCATTTAGTTTAATGTGTTACAACAAAAGAAAGCACGTGTCACTAACATTAATACCATAAATGTGATGTTATCATGACTATTAATCAAAGGGATTAATTAGTGTGTGTCTTTCATACATAAATGATACCATTGTGGACAAAGCAAAGGTGCAAATTAATGACTTGTGAAATGTTGAGCACGATATGGAAATACATTAATTACTATTTAAATGGGTACAAAGGATGATCATAAATGACAAAATCTTTAGACATAGCGAAACCATAATTTTGCGTCTATAAAAATCATATTATTCAAACATTGTATGTGTCAAATTGTCAATACATTTTAAGATGTTGCAAGGGTCCATCAAATTAATAAATACTATACTGTGCCTCAAAGGCTGTGTATATCTATTTTATACAGTGTTCTAGTTACATAATAAACTACCACATGTCTATAAAGTAAAGCATACATTCCGTAAGTTTGTCGAATTCTATCACGACAAATAATATTTTATATACTATTATGGTATGTCAAATTTGACTCTTTTGTAAGTTAAAATTGAATATTTTAGAATAGAATGATCGCCATAATTCTAAGACCTCAGTTTAATGAATCATTCATCTTTATGAATTCAATTACAACTGTATGCCATTTATACTACTGTCACTCTCTATACAACAATTTACTTGAATTATAATAAAGCCTGACATAATAAACAGCATAGAAGAATTGAATATCATTTGCGGTTTAGTCTTATTCTCAACAATTAACTAATTGAGGAGTGGTTACATGAATGCGTTTATTTTCATGTAAACAAATCGTATAACATTTGCAAAGACAATATCCACATAAATCTTGTCTCAATATGAAATTGAATTTCAATTTCCTTTGAGAAAATTATATTAGTTATGAAATTTCGTTGAAAATACAAAATAATTGTATGTTCATTTTCTTACATTACTCATAATGCTATGTAAATGTCTTAACAAGATAAATTAAGAATAATTCGAACTATCTAAGGTTAAAAGATTCCAAAACATAATTTTATAATGAATTATGACCAGTCAGAAACAAGATCAGCAAGGCATGATGGCATTCAATGAACACGTCACCCTACACGACCTAGCAACACAGCACTACCGGCAAGGAGACCAGCAGGACATCAAACAAAAACAGAACACGAGGTCAAAAAACTAACGAGGTATTATTTTAAATAACTTTGAATAGGAAATTATAGGAACCGACAAGGCAATTAAAGTAGATGATTAATTAATAGGCTTCAAATGTAAAAGGATTTAGTAGTTCGGGGAACT